GAACGGTTAGCGTAAATAGCCCTCGAGTAGCGTTGCGTGAAATTCGACAACAACAAAACTCGCTAGTTAAGAGGCTGCTAATGGAAGAAACGTTTCACCTCTCAGTTTGAAAGAGAATGAATTAATTGAAGTTTCTTCATCTTCTTATTTGTAGTAGAATGAGTAGTAAAAACGTATTTTAACAGTTGGAATGAGAGAGACTAAATGGTAGAAACGGGCAAGCACTTCTAAGGGTTAAATTGGGATTTTAAAAGAGGTGGAGCTCCGTTTTGTAATCTACTTTGTAATAGCAGCGCGGTTCATTCAGAAAAACAGGGGCGTTAAGTCCTGAATTCGTAACAGACGGAACGCTGTTCCAGACTGTTTTGCCCCTGTTTAACACATTTTCATTTCGGTAGCTGGAAATAGAGAATGAGTTATTATGAGATACGCAATTAACCCACCAGTTGTACAAAAAGAGAGTTTTATACGCGCCTAACATTTGTGATAAAAATCACGTAAAGTGCTAATTTGTTTCCACATTTTTCTTAATTTCAGATTCTAAATCAGAGCTTTTCAAATATATCTTTTAGCTTCCCACAAGTTACTGCCCAACAGGTCTTTCGTTCAATACCAAAAAGGGTTACTAGAGAAACAGGTCATAACACAGAAAATAATACCTCACTAGATGGAGCGAGAGAGTTCATACAATAAACATGTCATTCGATCACTAGTTAGAGAGAGAGAGAGGATGAATTATGCAAGAAACGTTATTCAATCATTAATTGGAGAGATAGAGAGAGGGTGAATTACGCAAGAAATACGTCATTACCTCACTAACTGGAGAGGGTGTGTGAATTATACGTGAAACGTTTTTATTTCTTCATTAATTAGTGAAAGATAGATGATTATACATGAGAAATGTCATTGGTTCACTAATTAGAGAGCGAAAGGAATTATACAATAAACCCATAACTAATTAGTTAACGCATTCACTGCCACCAGTAGTATTAATAATTGCAATTAAGTATAAATAAAATTAAACATTCAAAAGGTGCCAAGGAGTAATCACAGTGCCACAAACTCATATGCCACCAGAGAAATTTGGCTTTGAATAGATTTGTTGTATCAGGTTCGTGCACACGAAGCGAATTCATAAGGTGTTACTAGTCAGGATCTAGATTGTTAATACCAAGATTTGTTGCACATCCGGAAGATGGGTGTAGTTTTCTTCCAAGCAAGGAACGAGCATCCAATTTCTTTTGATAGAAGGAAGATTCATCATCACCGAAGAAGTTGACACCTATCAATATTGACATTATTTGTAAATTAGCTAATAAAAAGAAAAACGCTTCAGTTACACGTAGTTTAATATAATTGTGATTAATAATTTAGAAATACACAAATACTTTTTTGAAACCTTAGCTTTCGAAGAGATGACAGATTTTAATCAGACTGAAAACGAATAGTAGAAGCGATGACGTTTGAAGAAGGTATCAATCTGTTTGCCAATATTATGGTAATGATTTATAAATGAAATAAAATTAAGTAAAAAATATATGAAAAAAAAATCGTAACCAACAAACTTAGAACGTTATAGAAATAAAGCTGCAGATCTCGAGCTGGAGTTGTTGAATTGCTGTATTTACTTCTCTGATCAGCTCGCCTAGGGACGAGGTCCTGAATCGTTATACTTGGGCAGCCCTTTATTTGGTCCTGTTCCTATATGTTCCTTTCACAACACGAAGTGCTCAGACAAATAGATTGTCACTATTGAAGTGTTCAAGAACAGAAAGCTAGCTATGTTTAAACCTTATGTATTAATGGCATTTATTAATACGGGCACTGACTGCTTGCTCTGTTTCGCTAACATATTGTTTACAGCATTTACAGCAGCGCAAACAATAAATAATATTCTTTACCGCAGAGGTAATTCGCCGTTGTGAAAGTTTTTGACTGAAGAGATGTTTTGTATCGACTTGCATGTTTTACAACGTGGTCGATGAAACTAATCAAAACATATGAATCCATTGGTGTATAAGAATGGATTAGAATGTTTGTTTTCGTGTAGAAAACTTCGTACAAAATACCAAAATTATAGTTTTAGTTGCGACAACCTGAGCACAAGTACAAAAAATATACTTTCGAATATACCAGGGCGAAGTTCAGAAGTCCAAAGTCTAAAAGTAGGATTACAAACACTACTGGTTATACTCGACTGCATATAATACAAGACTTATTTGGCGTAATCGCTTACAGCAGACCAAAATTTTAAAACAGTCATCATCTGTTATTAGTGGTCAGGGGCGTTTGTTGGTTTAAAATCAACCAAATGCACGACATATGAGATTTCTCTACTGTAAGACAGTTCACCACTGTGTGTAACTTTTGTTTTAAGTTGTCTCTACCGTAAGACAGTTTATCATTGTCTGTAACTTTTGTTTGAAGTTGTCTCTACCGTAAGACAGTTTACCATTGTCTGTAACTTTTGTTTGAAGTTGTTTCTACCGTAAGACAGTTTACCATTGTCTGTAACTTTTGTTTGAAGTTGTCTCTACCGTAAGACTGTTTATCATTGTCTGCAACTTTTGTTTGAAGTTGTCTCTACCGTAAGACAGTTTACCATTGTTTGTAACTTTTGTTTGAAGTTGTCTCTACCGTAAGACAGTTTATCATTGTCTGTAACTTTTGTTTGAAGTTGTCTCTATTGTATTCTGTAGCAGTTCCTCCGAAATGTCGTTGTCTCCCCCAAGCTCATGCTGTCCATTTTTTCTTATTGTACCTCCCCCATTAAGAAAAGCTGAAGACGGCACCGATAGCGAGCAGGGCCACAATAATCTCCCTATGGACCTGGACCTACTAAAACGCTCTGCCACTTGTTTTTGTGTTGTTTCTATCATTTGACCAGTTCTAAAGGCATAAGACTTGGAACGTGGTGGGGCAGCAGGGAAGACTGACCAAAATTGTAGGTGGACAAAAAAAAAAGAAAAAATCAGTCTGTTTCCCATAAATAAAATATAATAAAGATAAAATTGGAAGAGAGAGAGAGAGGGCGTAAAAAGCTACTTCGCATCAAACAGAATATCCTCAGTAGTTTACGGAGAAAACAGCAAAAGAAAGGTGACAATTATCAACCCAAATTATCGTATCATTAGACTGGGTGCTCTTTATTAAACACGGGATGAAAATAATACATGAATTAGCTGCTTTGGTTTAAAATCTTTATACCTAATTAAAAAAACAACAACAACTGTGTCTTTGGATATATTTGGTATACCTTGTATTCCTAAACTAAAGTTTTGACATGTTATTATTTATAAATTTGGTGAGAAAACCCATTCCTTCACTGCAATGTGAGTTTTCCTCCATTCTGTCGGTTTACTGAATATGAAATCATCTACATAAACACGCGGTTCCAATGTGGCCCCCACAAAAATAACGATGTTATGATTCAAACCACATTTTCCACAGTTTTGGGGAATATTCCATATGACTTTAACAGTGAAACGGTTTCAGTGATTGTTTCTTTGTGTGTGGACTATGATGTCTTCCCGATGTGGTGTCTCAACGTTCTGTTGTGCTCTATTCGTAATGCTAAGTAGTTTGTAGCCTCGCGACTACCCGGCAAAAAAAGAAAAGAAAGTGCTATGCACAGTTACGCTTGTTCTTTTACCTGTTTCAGTCTTATCAAATACGAACTCGGCTTCGTTTTAAACGTTGCCGGACCTAGCATAGAATTAATATCTATTGGCGTAAAGGCTGAAGCACGAAAACAGTAAGTACGTATAACGATTTGTTGAAATAATAGGCCTAACTAATCACTGAAAAGGAAGAAAGAGAAATGTTGTTTACATACACTTATATATATATATCTTAGTCTATAAAATGAATCTGTTCAGGGTAAACTTCAGCGTTTTGCTCAATTTTACAAGTGCTAGTTATGTACATCAAAATGATGTATATGACACCGCTATGAGAAAGACGTACTAATACCGTTGGCTCAGTGTGTAATAAATAAATACAAAAACATAATAGCTTGATAAATGAATTAATTACTTAAATAAACAAACGCGTAAAGATAATCATCAAATACATAGCTAACATAAAATGGATTGAAAATCATTTTGTTACAATTAAAGTACTTTAATTTTAATGCGTCCAGGCCACACTTCGAAGAGTCCGGCACTTTTTGTCATTGCCTCCCAGGAAGCAGAAAGGTGTTTCTTAAATTATTATTATTTCGACTGTCATAAAAACATCATAATTCAATTAAAACATGCTATTTTAAAAAGTTCTTCTAAATCGTTTCTTTTCGTTGATTAGGTACACGAGAAATAGCGATGCTGTTGGCCTGATTAGGGCTATTCAACGAACAGAGCTAGGCTTAGCATTTTAAATTGCAAGTTATAGAGTAATATTTACGAGAAACTAAAAATTTATTTCCTAAGATGAAGTATTAAATTTAAAAGTTACATGTAAGTTTTGTGTTACGTACATTAGGAAGTAATAGAAATGGTAAATTTACTTCCCCACGAACACAGAGCACACATAGAACGTTTTGAATTGTAGTCCTACCTTTTTCGTTCTCAGGAATTCACACCCAGTGTCATCGTAAATACAGTACTTTCAAAGACATAATTTTCCTACAATTGCTCCAAAACAGCAAAACACAAAGATGAAGAAGAAAAGGAATACCATCTTTCAAGTACTTGCAAAAAGATGTATCCAATCAAAGTTGCAGAAGGACAGGTGAAAAGTGCATAACTAATTACATATCAATACTTGGAAATGCATTTTCAAGATGTACTAAATTTGACCTTTAGTCTTTTGGTTTGAGGTGTATTAATTTCTTTGTCACATGGGTAAAAGCTCTATAAAAGGACTGTTCTTTCTCTCTAAATTTTTTTTGCATGACTGACTCAAAAATTTTTATGAAACTTTTTCTATATTGTTTTTAAAGGACTGGTGAGCGATTTCTTAAGTGCTCTGCTGTTATATTTAATCTTTTCTCCTCCTGGCAGCTGGACAGGTTCAAGGAGCCTCCAGCCTTTGGTCCCATGTGTGATCTCTTGTGGTCTGATCCACTGGAAGACTTCGGAAACGAGAAAAATGCAGAACACTTCAGTCACAACAGTGTCAGAGGTTGCTCATATTTTTATAGGTGAGTCTTTTATCAGTCACAATAGTGTTAGTATTTATTACCAATATTTTGATAGTGAGCCTTTAACTAAAACATTGCTAAAAGCAAGTTATATTTATCTGTTTACCTCAAATCAAATAACGTATTTGATGTCTATCCAAATAACACTGGGCTGATGAGCCGCTATAATTAGTTCAGACAGATATAACATGAATTATTCATAAATTATAACAGATTACATTTCCAGTGAAATGAGCTTCCAGAGGAATAACGAGACCTAACGCAACTAGTGGTTGAAACTATAAATCTATAAGAATGTATGAATTTGTAAGAAAATAGTCATAGTTACATAGCAATGATAATAGTGAATCATATTTTAGATATCTTTCGCAAAACTTTTAAATTTTCATTTAAACTGTACTGGTTGACATTGCAATTGCTTGGTGGGTCCAGTAGACCCGCCAGCATTCGTTATCGTTAATATGTATTTATATATCTATAATATCAGTATTGATTTTTCAAGAAGCCGACAATAAATTAACATTTTATAGTGTTTCCACATTAAGTTCGCTGACCGACACTGATCATGATACTAGGTCAGTTAGGTCTTCAAATTCCATTATGTTCGTCTTGCGTTGAAATCAATTGTCAAAACATAAAAGTTGCAATAGGAAAGTACAGAAGCTACCTTTCCACTGCTGAGCTAGACAGAAGAAACTGCTCACGCAAAATTGTCGTCATGTCTATGAACACAAGTTATGTATAAGCAGGATTAGGCTTTTAAGCTGTGGTGAAAACATAAGTTACATATCAGATGGACTATACTACACGGGGTGGGGCGTACACAATTTATGTGTCAGGCGAATATGTTTGCACTTAATGGTTAGTACAGAATTTACGTTTCGGTCACATCAGATTTTTAAAAGGTATTGAAAGCGTAAATTACGTATCAGGCGGATCAGATTTCCATGGGTTGGTAAAAACATGAGTTATGTATTAGTCAAATCAGATTTGCACGTGGCAGTGCGAACTCAAATAAATTACGTACGGAACAGAGCTGGAGAAATAAGCGGTAAGATACACTACTTTCAAAGACATAATCTCACGTATTCCTGCAAGGCTCCACCCAGAAACTTCCTGCATTAAAAACCTCCGGCAGGTAATAACTTTTGTATTTTTGGATAGGATTTGTAAGGAAAACGGTGATATGGAGTTAAAATAACCAGGAAGTACAAACTCGAACTGTGACCTAGGGTTCAGTAAGCCAAGTACTATTAAGGAGATTATAAGAAATCTCCTAATAATTTTCTAATATGTGATATTTTGAAAGTTTAAGTGTCTTAAACAAATACAAATTACAATTTAGTAACACGTCGGATTCAGAAGGAATACATGATTAACCAAGATTTCCACTCCTAAACGTGGCTGTATCGAATTTAGAATTTTAAATTATCTTGATTTATAAACTACTAATTTAATAAATTTTAGCTTTTTGAAACACTAATGAAAGATGAATATTCATAAACATAAACGGAATTTGATTACTTAGTTTTTCATGTTAATCAAGGTTCGGTTTAATATGCCTAAGATTTTTCATATTGTTACGTCTCCGTTCGTTAGTTAATTTCCCGTAAAAATTCTTTCCGAAGAAACTTTACCGATGCAAGTCCTTTCTTAAATAAAACTGGTTTATTATTTTTGAATACATCTTTACGATACACATAATTTCAACAGTCGCGCTATAACAAACGCTATAATTCACAACGAACGTCTCACGTGCTCAACAATATTCTCTTTCCGCAGTTCAATTACACATTACATACCGCCTTGTTCCCATCGCTCTTGACCGGTCTTATATATACAAGACTACACTACATCTAGAAGGATCCCGAGATTTAAGGAAAGGACGTGAATGTTCGAGAACGACGTGGCGTGATACTAGGCACGTGACCTCCGCTGACACAACAATATTTAATACAAATTCAGCTTTATTTACCTCCTACGACTTTCGGATACAGACTT